TGGCCATTTCGATGCTCTAAACTTTTTGGCTTTTTCTACAGTGTTCGTACGTCATAAACTCCAGTACTGCATACAATTCCCAAAGGCCGAACTCACAACGACTATGATGCTGCCGATCTTCCGCTAAAACAGAATTTTCAAACATTTCAAACCGTCACATGTAGCCTAAATTGATGGTAGCTTCACCTAAGCCTAAACAGGACTTTCAGAATTTAAACTGAGCATTGACATCGTGTATTAGAATCTGTGATATCTAAACAAGGATATGGTTCGTTCTGCTATACTGAGAGAAACGATCTTAAAAAATCCAGCATACTGACTGAGCCAGGCGGATGGAGAGCCACACTTGACCACGAAGAGTGTCGATTTCATATACTTTTACCACCCGAAAGTTTTTGAAAGAGTCAACTATACATGTTTCATTAATAAGCCCAAACGTTCACGTATCAAGTCACTCTGACTAACTAATTTTCGGCATATCTAAATGATCGACTCTTTGAAATCAGTGCAACGTTTAGTCTTTATCGAGCTATGGAATGTCTTAGTGAGACCCCCAGGGTCTAAGTAAGATCCTATAGATTAGGCAGTTACATCACAACAAATCTACAATCTCAGGATTAGGTCTGTTATTAGGGAAGTACTAATAACGAAGTAGACCGTAATTTAACATTGGTAAGCCCGACTAAAGAGACGCAACTTATTACTAATAATCCTTACTTTCACTTTTACTTTATCGATCGATTTTTACTTATGTGAACCCACTATTATATTAGTCCTCGGATTAATGCTTACATGTATTACCGTAAAGTTATATTGATTAGTACTCATAACATACTAACTCAATCGATACTAATAACTGGTCATCTATATTAATTATTAGCTAAGATGGTTCATTAACAAGCTTTAATAACATTTGCACGCTTCAGTGAAATAAATTTTTTAAACATCAAATTCTAGCAAATCAGACCTGTAAACAACCTAAACATATATCGACTGGCGACGTAAGCAAGGACTGAATAGTTATCTGGACCTAGTTCTTCATATCCTTTCTTCTCTTAACGTTCCACTATGTTCTAAACTATGCACTACCCTGTAATATCTTTTCTTCCTACCACTGCCTGCCTGATTTTCAATTTTCGAGTTTCACTGCCAAACAACAAAGACACTACTCCAAAAACATACGGTGAGTTTAAGCTATAAATTTTCTGCAATCATGTGGTTATTTTAGATGGCTCGTACAATGACAGCCACACAATTATCTGGATTCGTTCATTTGTTCTGATTCGAGCGAGTGCTTAAAAAGGTCAACAGCACCATGCATCCTGGAATTATTTGTCATACTCCGTGTTTAATCTAGATGCTTTTGGATGATTACTACGCCTCACGAATAGCGTCTATTGAATAATCTAATTTTTGAAAGTAATCCAGGTGAGTTTAAATTTTTTTATCTTTCTTGGTTAATTTACTATGTTTTTAGAACTTCTTAAACAACATATATTTTTTTCCATTTAACTGCTTGTATATATTTTATACGTGTCATTCCCAAGACGTTTTGGTTGAAATATTTGATACTTTTATACTACAACATACTGTTAAGAAGTGTGTTATTTAAATACATTTCTTATTTCCAGTTGCTTTCACCACATATTTATAAATGTCACTAAGCTAAATGCAGGGACTTCTTATGGAAATTTTATATTTCGTTATATCCCAACCTAAAGTTCCATAAGTAGTCTTAATTGGAAATTATTTTACTGGAAATGTTTATTATTTTTAAATTGACATATACTTCAACAACCTTCATGTTAACCTGGTTCCTATATGAGTTGAATTATATCTCCATGCCTTTTAAACTTAAAAATCATTTGAATCTCCTTTAACATTTTTCAATGAACCCATCATGGTCGTTGTTACTATACGTATTTGGGTTATGAATTGGTCTATTATGGTAATAGCCTAAAAAGACGAACATCGTTTAGATAATAGTCACCGAATTAAGGTATTAGCATACTGCACTAGTACAATAACTAAACTACCAGGTAGTTTTTGACCAAAAAAACATCTAAAATTAAAAACTCGGAGCCTAATACTGAAATTAACATCATGTAAACTAATATTTTATAATCAAGCAGCTGGGATTCGTTAACACTACAAGTTTCTGATAATTTCGAGTCACCTAAAGCAACAATACCTATTTTCCACTGGCTAATCCTCAATCAACATTATAACTAGTTGAACATAATGGCTTCAGGATATCGTCACAAAGAATTATCATGACTTGACAATTACGTAACATGATTGATAACACTGATGAAGCTACTAACAAAATCGGTCTAGAAATTGACTTGTAATTATCATCAAATAGTTTTGTTTTCTCGTTACCTTCATCCACTACGTATGATTCCAATATGTTTCTCTATCAGTAAATATCCTAAGACTTTGTCAGTCTAACTTGAGGTTTAGCGACACAATCATGCATGCAAATAATCGGTATAAGTAGTCGAGCGAATCTCCTGCAAACTAAAAACATCAATGTCGAATTCACCCCAACAATGACTAAGGTTCAAGTCATTATCATAGACGTATCACACTGACGATTTTCGCAGGCACTCTATAGCGTCGATGAAGGCTCCATAATTTTCTCTCATCCATGTTGTGAAATGAGTTCTCATAGTCAAGGGAGTTAATGTATAGTGACGAGTTCCATTCTATTGATTGTTCACGATGATCCGTAGTGTTCTTATTCGGTTTCTGCACTATCGATCCTTACGGAATCCGATCTGATTATCCCGATTTAAGCGTCTACTGAGTCCTTCATCCGGTTCAGCAGCATTCTATTGAAAACTTTTGCTGGTACTGACAGTAGCGTGATGATTCTGTAGTTCTCACATTTTCTCAAATCTCCTTTCTTTGGTGTCGAAATGAGGTGTCTTTCTTTCCGGTCCATCGACACTTGTTCTGTGGTGTGTACTACAGATTTCGACAGATATAAATGGCATGTATTAATAATCGAAAGTGATGTGCCTGGTGGCAGAATTTTAGTAAAATCGAAGGAAATAGGACGACGACAGAGAGTGATTGGTGTGAAAACGAAAGAATGGTCAAGTCTGAGACAATTGGTTGATGTTTAGAAAGTGAAGAATTTACTCTATGCTTCTCAGATTTTACAAAGAGGTTTTGCAATTTTGTGTTCGCACACATTTTGTTACTCCCACCTGTATTCTCCCAAATCTTCCTGAGTAGAACGTTGAGCATGTTTTCAGTCACTTCTATGCCTGATTTCAGTGCTTCATCTGTTATGTTGTCAGATCCTTCTGCTTTCTCATTATTCTTGACTTTTCTAATGGCCATCTTGATTCCTTCCATTTTTCGTGGAGTGCTATTTATGAGAAGATCTATGCGTGATGTCTTGATGTGCGACGGGTTCAGTGGGACTGGTCTGTTCAAGAGTTCCTCGTAGTTTTCTACCCGCCTATTCAGGTGTTCTTGAATCGCAGCGATTGGGCAATCGAGAACCACAGACCAATAAATATTACCCCTTTTATGTCATACTTAATAGAGAGTGATAAAATATAAATTTTCTGATTTGATTGCTTACTTGAAGAAGCCCTAATTGGCTCCGTTCATAATGATGTCTTTAAACTTCTGTTCTACACTACATGTCTGATTGACTTTTTAACGAGCTAACTTACATTCATGACCAAAGGCTACTAGTGGTCCTACTGTACCTGATATCAAGAAAGCCTTTAACAAGGTGGCTCATAATCTCATTTAGTAACAAACGTCAATCTATTGGAATTATTAACCATGTTTTGCAACTGACCAGATCGTTTCTCCTGAGTAGATACCAAACAACCAAAATCAACTCTGCGACATATACAACCCAAACAATAACCAATGGTGTTGTGATGAGTAGTGTTGGGCCTACTGCTTTTCATAATCAACATCAAAGCTAAAAGCACAGGCTTCGATAGGAATAATACCTGTCTCTATATTGTTGACAATGTCAAATATAAAAATAACACTTGTGACATATAAAGTATTACGTATATAAGTCAGTGTGAATCCAAGAAAGCAAATAACTGGCGCAAACGCCGGGCTTGGAACATAACGATGATCCTATGCGGCTGGCTATGTGATACAGAAAGTTCAAAATAAAACTCGCTTCTGTTAAAACCTATTGCCAAAACGTATCTGCAACTGACCGAGTGCGCCTCCCAGACTGTTTAGATCTCTCCAAAAATATTGCTAAAAATCTCCAAGTTTTATCTGCCGTAACTCTTTTCAAAATTAGTCTACAAACATTCTCTACAGGGTGTGTGTGTGTGAGACCTATCATCGAATTCTTCTCGTTCTTATTTTCCAACTTAACGTTTAAAACCGATTCATCTATTAAGTAATCTTCCTTATGCCATACCTTAAGACTTGAACCCCTTTAGGAAAAAACTCAGATTCAACGCTCAAAAACTTTTCCCAGCGGTCTTATTGCAATGCGCAGATTTTTCAGGTCATGACTTTTTACCAACCTTTAGTCTTTTTCTCCTGCTTGCATGGGAATGTGCACACTTATGTAAACCATCGCAACGACTAATTCACATTTTCAAACTGTTGCCGGAATTCGCCCCTAATGACCACCGATTTGTGTACTGAATCAGGACGTAGAAATCTTGTAATCTTTCCTTACCAGTCACACTTTATACTAGTCTACGAAGTTTATTGTTCTTATTTTGCCTTCACGTATCACGAATTCTATCTGAAAGTTCCAATGGTTAGTCGGTAACATTAAAAGCACCTTCATGATTGAAAAATTCGCCAGTTCGTCAATAACTATATGTAACAACATGAAAAGGTTGAACGTGTTTTAATACACCACAAATAATGTATTCCGCCTTGGAAAGGTCGAGTCAGACGTTTGATGTTTAATGCTTGCATACTTGTCTGGACTGTGTTTTTAGTTGAGGATATATATCTATTTTATAATCATTAATCAGTTAACAGTAATGGAGTGGAGTGAACAGTACGCACAATCAATGGCCAATATTAAACCCGAAAATTTCGATATGGGATCAGTAATTAAACAAGAAAATTTCGATATGGCTGTTGTTTCTCAAAATGAGTGAGTTTATTCTGTCATTTATATTATTGTTAGTGTAATGGTCTCCATGTCAAGCGATGGGGGTACGACAATTCTTTCTTCCGGAGAAATGAGGTAGGAAATATTCTGTATAAGGCTGTTTCTTTATGTTGGTATGATGAAAAGAAGCATTTACTGGGTCTGATTGTCTTATTTGGTCATTCCAGTATTGTTCGTGAACGTTTGAGTATTTTCGGCAAAGACAAAACAAAAATATGTAATGACTAGTACTGTTGTGCATCTAGAATGTACGTCCACTACGTATCGAAAGGATTGAGATTATGCAATCCTAATCGCTATAGTATTAGTCATCAGTGTTATTTAAATTATTTCATTTATGTCCATCGTTATGTCGCATATAAAGCTGCTGTTCTGTTTTGTCAGTGTGAATTATTTTACTTGCTAAATTAACCTAACAAACTTACTTAAGTAATGAAGTAGGGATAATGAACATTCGTCTTTGTGTAAAATGAACAGGATAATATCCACCTAATTGAAACTTTCAGTAGAACTTGTTTGCGTAGCTTATAAATAAGACTTCAAATTAATCAAACTTGTACCAAGTCTTGTGAATTGCATTGTGGATGTTTGAAAAGCTTCCGTTCCCATGTAGTTACTATAAATCTAATCTTCCGATACTCCAATACCGTAACATTATTTTAAAAATCCGTATTCACTGTACTTTGTTCATTTATTTTTTCTGTACATGTTGGTAGTTTGGTTTTTTAACCAACTAGTTAATGTTTTGGATATTTGACTAGCTTTGATTCATTATTGTTATATTAATTTGCTCACTGTTAAACCCGAGTTCCTAATGCTCAGCATAGAGCCTCGGACAAGCGTGCACCTGTTCGGGTTGTTGCATCACATCAGGATAGTGAGATGAAATTATCAGAACAAATGCCCATTGAGGCTGCAAATACACAGTTAAAAATTTAACGAATTGACCACATACAAGTTTGTGTGAGTTGTTAATGTCACTCGAATGTTTAAATGGAAATACATGAGGTGTGTTTCTAACTTGTGATTCAATAGTACAGATATGAAAGGCTTAATTATTAAGCTATCACCTAAGCTCATGACTTACGGCACCTCTAAAGAATACACATTCATCGGGAAGACTATAATTTATGAATGAGCTTATCAGATTCAAGATATTTGGGCGTGAAATTAATTAATCAGTATGGCTATATAGCATTTTGGCATTGTAGCTGTTGCCAGTTCGTGACAAAACCCTTAAGTCTAACCTCTAACCCTAATCTCCAGCTGTAAATCCTAATCCTTATTCCTTACACTAATCCATGGTCCTCATTTAACTCCTGTAAGTAGGTGCAATTCTCAAGGTAAATGTAGCGTTGCTTAATGGTCATCCATAAATTATGGTCTCACTCATCCATCAAAAAAGAAATGTAATTTTCAGCAGTATGCGTTTTAGAGGTTGTGGGGCGAATAAAATAACATACGTATAACTTAAACAGTAGTGCTTCTTTGCCGTTCAATTGTGTATCCACTTATTCCATTTATTGAGGTTTCACCATTATTCCCTCGAATTCATCCTCTTCTTTCAAACTATTCTTCAATGTTTAGTCTTCCCTATTATGATTGATTCTGTTGTTATTTCGACTCTTCCTTTTTGCCTCCTTTTGATAATTATGGCACGAGGATTTGGGCTGACACATTTGCCACAGGCTTTTTGTCAGCTATGATTAACTTGATCGTCTGTCCTATGTGCACAGTAAGCAAACAAAACCTTTTCGACTTGCATGACTTAACTATATTTATGTGTCGTAGAGTGTAGTCAAGAAACGTCCTCAGGAATCATTAACAGTCGAGATCTACGATATACACGAAACATATGTGGTATCGTTTGTCCTGGGAATTATTCTACAGAGTTCCTGTCAAAACGTTAATGATTTTTTTAGCTTGACTACTATTCACACATCGTGTGATCACTAAATCCTAAGTTTTGCGGGAGAAACATTAATAATACAAAAATAGTTCAGTAAATTCAACTTAAAACCTTCAGGTACCTAGAACATCGGGAAGTTTCATGTGTTTTTTTCAAAAAATTTGTTTCCGAAACCTATTTTTACATTTCCAACTGCTTAAGTCAGCTTTCAGTTAACCATTTCCTACTTTCTCTTAGTAACGGGATTGTGCAAGTTCCGTCAAGTGATGGACTTATGGGTTCTCCATCGGCAAAAGAAATCGAACGTTTCAATAATCTTTCCGAGGAGGAACTAAAAAACAAGTCCCTTCCTGACCACCTAAAAGAAGGACTTGATATTGTTATAGTGGGGATTAACCCTAGCTTGGCCTCAGCACACGTTGGACATCATTATGCTGGTCCTGGAAATCATTTCTGGACATGTTTATCACAAGCTGGTTTGGTTCCAATGGCTGTCAGTTGCTATGATGATTCTAAAATGTTGGATTACGGTATCGGATTCACTAATGTTTGTACAAGACCAACCAAAGGTGCAGCTGAACTTACACGTAAGGAGATGAAGGCTGGTGCGGCAATCATGCTTGAAAAAATGAGAAAATACAAGCCAAAAATTGCCGTGTTCAATGGTAAAGGTGAGTTACTGTTATCAAATCAGGTTTTGTTATTTTAAATAGCACTTACTGTTTTATGTAGAACCTGACACGTACTCATTGAAGGTGCCGTGTTACATTAGCACAATCAGATGAGATTATAATAAAAATCCAAGAGTAAGTACGGTTAGTAATGTTATTAGTAATTCTACTACTCTGGTATGCTTCATCTCTGTGCTAATGTGATGTAGTTACTTGAACCAATATACATATGTCCCAGGTTCTTTATTACGTATGACTGACTAATTTTACTTATTATTGTAAAACTACTGATATTCGTTTGCTGTTAACAACAGGCGAATAAGGCAGTGACTTGGTGGTTGGAGCGCTTACCTTATAACCACAGTGTTGCATGTTCGAATTCCAAACCACCTTATTTAAGTAATATCACTAGCTATTATATTGAAAACGGTAACTGAAATATAAATTGTAAAACGCTTACTTGGGTGCTAAGTCATAGTAAACGGGAATCAACCATTTTAATCCTCACACTGAACGTAATTAGATATGCGTGTTTCTGGATATTCAAAGGTGATGGGTGCCTCAAATATGCACCATAAAAGTTGTATCCCAGTGAGATCGTGAGAATTTTGAACCATGAAAGTTTGCTAGACGTCTATATATATATATATATATATATATATATATATATATATATATATATATATATATATATATATATATATATATATATATATATATATATATATATATATATATATATATATATATATAGTTTTTAAGAATACTCGTTTTTTTGTGGCTTCGTGTTTTCTTCCTAAACTTTAATCCCAGTAAAACAAAGTCGTTTAACAAGACGAATTGTAAAATTTTCAAGTTACTCTTCATTAGCTCCACATTACTAGTATATTGATGCGACATTACTTGAAATATTGGTCATTCGAGGAAATATAACTTGCTTTCACCACATTTTATTACAATTTCATCTTCAGATCTCTTTTATATGGTAATTAGAATCATTATAACAGTATTTACTTTTTATTCTGATAATTTTCAACTAACATTTATCGAGTATGATTTAAAAGAAACTAGTGTACATCATAAGTTAAAGCGGTACCATTTGTTAAGTTTGTTATGGTAAGCTTCGTTTTAGTTATGAATATGAACACTTTGCGACTTTATATTAGTCTTTTATGTTAACCAGACTGGAAACCTACTATTTCAGTTTTATGTCTGCGTACCTAAATGCTCAGGATGGATTATTAGCATACTTTTTCATTATTTTTCTCTATAGGCATTTATGAAGCGTATGTTGGACATAAAAATTTTTGCATGGGAAGGCAACCTACAACCTTGGATGGTACAGATATAGTAAGTTATATTGCAAGCTCTTACAAGTTGTAAATTTTTTTATCCAGCTGTTTTTTTCCTTTTATTTAATTAACTTCATGAGGTGGCTATGATATCAGTGATATCGTGTTTATTATTTTTGTCCCTTGATTTAGTTGTCAATGTTTAATTAATGAGTACGTGTCGAATTTATTTACTTCAGTACGTGCCCGTCAAACAAATTGTCTTAAAATTATGTGTACAATGATGGATTCTATGTGTTCTATTTTGGGGAATCAACAAAATTAAATAAAATCTCGAAGTAGACACTATCTAGGTTAATATTTTCATTGTATTTTCAACAATGACATCTTACATACCTTAATATGTGATCATTTAACTTTATTTCATTATAGGTCATCTTTGTGATGCCTTCGTCTAGTGCACGATGCGCACAACTTCCGCGTGCTGAAGATAAACTTCCATTCTTTTTAGCTTTAAGAAAACTACGTGATTATGTACGTGGTGATTTAGCTGAATTACCTGATTCTGAAGTAGTGTTCGCTGATTATACCGAATTTCGTGTCACTCAACCAGATCCAAAAAGTTTACGTAAAGCTGAACGACGTCGTAAACGAAAAGCTGAAGCGGCAGCAGCGGCCGCTGCTGCAGCTCTTGCTGTAAATTCTGGTGATGGAACTTTAGTGAATGGAATTGTTTCAAGTCAGGTTATGTCTAATGATAGCGCTAATGTTACAGCAGTTTCTCAATCTTCAAATGGTGTATCCGTTGATGGTAAAGTAAAATCCAAAGCAAAACGTAAGTAATAGCAATAGAGTGTTAAATGAATCATAAATTCTTTTTCCATATTTCGTTAAAAATATGTTCTTTTTATTATTTCCGATTTAAATTTTATTGTTCTATGTAGAACTAATCATATTAAAGACGTTTCTCCAAGACAATATTCGGAATCACATTGATATAATCCTAATCATAGCATTTTTCTATTAATATGATTACATACATATACATATATGGTAAACACTAGATTCGGCTAAATAAGCTTTAAATGATGGTTGTACTGTTTTTTTAATGACCAACTGAAATGTATATTATTTATTCATCGTAAAAGGTTAACATTTGTTAACTAATTCTGTTTTTGATATTCAACTTCAACCTATGTAAAGAATCAGTAGTTTTATGATCTATAAGTTAATTTCAATAAATGTTTTTAAAAATGTTCAGGTTACTAGTATTCTACCATACTTTTCTTCAAAGCATCGCTCGTCTACTTTTGGACCATCGACCAAATAATGCTTAGGTTAGACATAGGGTACTAGATAAACATGGCAAATCGATTGAATAGATAGTGAATTCTCAATAACTTAGGCAGTCAGAATATATGTTATTTATGCCCAGCCACCTCCTGTATTGACGGACGACGATGTATAGTGTAGAATTAGGTCGAAAGGAAACCAGTGGCTGTTCAGAATCGTTCGTAATGGAGCAAGTGGATTCAGTCCCAACTTTTTATAGAACCAAAGTTTTTAGATCTCTTTATAACTAGTCTTTTCTAATACTACTTATACTGATATTGCTCCTACTACACTGGGATTTGTCTTGAAGTAACTTTTCACCGATGCACATATATATTTGCCTATGATGGACTGATTAGGCATATATTTATTAAATCGTTTTAAACCACATAATGTTAGTCATTATTGATATTTCATAGATATGAATGTTTAGTATAATTTGTAGGAATCAAAGATGGAAGATGAATATAGAAATTATTTAATTAAAATATTATTTGATCCATTAAGATTCTTCCCACAGTTTTATTCAACAATATAGAGATGTGCTATTGAAGTTGTAATAAATAGTAGATGGTAATGTAATCAAGTGTAAGTCTATCCCCTTATCCTCATTCCGAACTGACTATGTAATTGTAAATGGTACTAACAAGGTCATCAAACGTAAGTAGCAGGTGCATGGTTAGAGTCTACAACCTGTAGGCTGATAATTATTTTAAGTACTGAACCACTGTAGTAAAACAATAGATCTTCGCCTATCGGTTTATATATTATACAACTCCATATTGTTAAGTCCCTAAGATTATCCCTTTCAGATTCTCCCTAGTTTATGTGCTGTCCTTGATTTCTTTATCGTAATTGTAGTTTGTCGTTTCTTATGGTCTGTATTTTTTAAAAGAAAAGAACTAAGATACAAACTGATGTAACAACTCGTCTGATTTCTTGATGAAACGACCTGAACTGATGGTGAGTGTGAGAAAAAACAGTATAAGGAACTTTAATTAATGATACTAATTATTTTCTCAGATATCTGTAGATAAGATTAGAATTTACCGGGTAATGGTGCAAAAACATTTTAACCTTGTTTCAATTTAATATTAAGATAACTGGAATTAGAATGGAAGAGTTCAATTAAACGAGAATATATTAACTAATAAAGTTATGACAAAATCTCGACAATGTGTCATATTACTCATTTAATTCAAACACATAAACATTGGTACAAGAAGGCATCAAATATATATGCGCCACATAAATCATTCGATGCGTAAGAGATGGAATACTTCTCGGACACCCAAACCGAAGCAAGTAGTCTTATTAGGGGTCTAATCCATAAGGTAGTGAAACAAAGTTAGGAGACTCAGTCTCATGGCAACCGGTTACCATACACCTTTTGTCCCCTCAGAATATTGGAGCCCACATCCACCATTGGTTTGGAATCAGGGTTTTTTAACTACCCTAGGTGAATCCGCTGTGTCCAACCCGGTTAAAGCTCTGGACATTCGCTTTTCACCTTCTCAATTTCGTAAACAACACCGCCACTGTGAGAAGGCAGTGAGTAGGACTTCCGTGAGAGTGACTGTATACGCGTGGCCATGTAAGAGCATTTCGAGAGGGAGAGTGGACTCTCCCCATCATCGACTATACCAAGGCATTTGGGGACAGATTACTCAAGATCTTGTGTAACTATGTTTTCTTTACGGACAATTTTATTTTGTTTTTTTTAAAAAAACTTTGTTCTGAATAATTAGTCTTTCCCACTGTTGATGCTGCAATTATTTCAATTTCTTTGCCTCTTTTTCATCTTGTTTATTTCATTTCATCGTGGTGATATAGTGTAGCAACATGTGTCAGAGTACATTTTGTATATTAGATTTTACGTTGATTACAGCTTGACATGATATATTTTATTACGTAATTGTACGATAGTTCAAACCTGTTATTATTAAAATGTGTCTTGATTTTATCAGTTTAAATTCTTTCATTGGTTCTCATTCCCTTTGTACTATAAAGGACTGTGATTGATAATCCAATCACTGATATTTTTCTTCTGCATTGTTTACCTATAATTCAATTATTTTACTTCTAGTCATTTTATTATGGTTTTCTTATTTGTAATGATTTATACAACCTGATTATATTAATCTGTTTTTACATGAATCTATACATGGTTGCCTAGTTGCAATATGATTGTCAGTTCCCGTGAATTAACAATTTAATTAATATTATTATCATTACTAATTCGTCCTAACTATGTCTTCATTTTTAACTCACAAAAGATGTCAAGGATAAATTTAGTTAACAATTAGTAATATATAAAGTCATTTGCTGTAGGTGTAAGTTCTAGATGTTCTATGAAACGTGTGTCGCCATTTTCTTGTTTCATTTCTTATCATAGCCATTCATCAATGTTCTTTTTAATCTATATTATTTGCCACTTTAACTGTTCACTTACCTTTTCACTTTTCAATATCGTCTAGTTCAAAATAATCAATCAGTTTGATAGTGACTTGGAATTTAAATGAGGCAAGAATTCTGATATCTAGTGGTTGTATATACCATGTCAGACAGAGCGGTAAGACTAAAAGCAACAAACTCAAGGTCCGAAGGCGAAGTCGTACTGCTAACTGTACAGAGGTATGACAGCAATAAGGTGTTTCCTTCAGACAACCAGCATGACAGCGAAACTGCCTTCCCACAAGGAGGAGTGGTGTTAGAAAAGGTCGACCCTTAAAATGCACACCTCGCCTTATCCCACGGATATCCGTCCCTGGCGGTAAGGTTTCAACAAGTACGGAGCTAACACAAGAAATTACTCATAAAAAGATGTGTGTGACCGGCCTCAATCAGTTGTCCCTTGGACACTGCGGTCAGGCTCTCAGGTCACTAAGACTACCTTTAATCCAATTTCCTTTTCAGGTACCTCCAGAAGAACCCTTCCACGGTGTGGGCAACCGGGAAGTGATAACCGCCCTCATACCTCTAACAGCATTCAAGACCACTGTATTCATAATCGACGTTGTTTGCTATTCACCTCATTATGCTGATATAGTATGTGAACTCAGATTTGTGCCCTGAGTCTCGCTTCATTTATAATTGAAAAATTAAATGTTGTAATGTTCCATGGAAAGCAAATTGTCAACATTGTTTGCCTAGACATTTTCACTGTGTCTCTTAATAGTTTAGAATCGATTGTTATTAAGTCCTCTTGGTCAGCTACATTTAATATTAAAACTAATCTGTTACTTCAAAACTTAAATTAGTTCCAGGAAGATATATATTGTTGTTGTTTACATGTGAAAGCGAAAGGCTAGAATCGCTAATTATTATTATTAAATGACTAATAATTAATTCACAGTTTTGTATACCCTTCTCTGGCTGCATATTTTTATGATTTTCCACCTACAATATACAATATTCAAATTTGTTTAAAATATTCGTAGTATTATGATTACATCACCAATATATAGTTGTGTGTGTGTGAGAGAGAGAGAAAGAGAGCAGAAAGTAGCTCTATTGTTGTTATTCAAATATACATAAGATTCGCTAGACCTAGACTAATTGATATCCTCCTTATTCATTTATGAAATGATAGGATGATTTACTTACTTACTTACTCCTGTTACTCCTCGTGAAGGAGCATAGGCCGCTCACCAGCATTGTCCATCCAACTCTGTCCTGGGCAATCCTTTCTAGCTCCTTCCAGTTGTTATTCATCTTTTTCATATCTGCTTCTATTTCCCCCGATGTAATGTGTTCTTTGGCCTTCCTGTTTTCCATTTCCCTTCAGGAATCCAAGTTAGGGTTTGCCTCATGATGCAGTTTGACGATTTGCGTAATGTCTGTCTTATCCATTTCCATCGTATTTTCCTAATTTCTTCTTCAACTGGAAGGATGATTTAGTAACTTTAAAAGTTTGCTAACTAGTTCACCTTACTCTGCTGTATAAATTTCATCACTGTAAAAAAAATGTAATATTTAATTATGTTCTTGCGGTATATTAGTAGTATGGAAGTAGTATAATGCATTTTTCTTTCTACACACTAATAGTTACTATCTGCTCACTGTGTTCCTTTAATTTTTCACAAATTAATGATAAAATGCACTGTATATATACTAATCTGTCTCACCCTTGAATATTTCTATTCCTCTATCTTCTAATATTTCTGTGAACCTTGTGAAGAATAGAAGAAATATGGTTAGTTTTATGTGTTTCCTTTATCATTACTATTATTGTAATGAGGATGATGATGATCTATTTTCGTGTCATTTCAACAGAAAAGATATAATATTCTGTACCAATATGGTGTTGATGATTATGCAAACAATAACAGATCTTATAGAAAATGGATAGAAAGCTAAATATTACTGTCCATTTATATAAAATATATCTATGTAGTAGAGGTTAGGTATATTCTCTTAACTTTTTCATTTCATTTCAATCTTACCATCGTGTATATATAGATACACTGTAAAGAGAGTGTTGCTATTACAAAAACCCTAACTTTGATCTCTCTCTTAACACACTACACACATACTATCTCTCTCTCTCTCTTTTTTTGGTTAGATAGACGATTTCTATGTCCCACCAGTTTGAACATTGACGATAATAATAATAAGAAGAAGAACAATACTAATCATTTTTACAACTAAATTTTCGTTTGTTGTCTCTTTATTTTTCTTTTCTTTTTTTTCTCTGTTACCACCACTTCGCTTCATATTTTATTATTTTTAAAGATATTGGTTTATTGAAGTTTTATACAAATTCATTTGATGATTATATTATGTGAATTTCTTCATTTCATGATAAACTAAACTACACATGAGAAATAATGAGCTTTGTTGTATTTCAAAATTTAGGCACATAATGTGTATCTACTATCATAGGTCATTTTAAATAATCAGTGGGTTAAATATACAACAAAGTTAAATCGTCTCTACTCCGGGCTAGCAATTTTTCAATTTACAATCATATCTAGTCTATAAAACCGGTCAATTTTTCTATATTGTTTGTACACCCGAGAACATATTCATTCTTTCTCTGTGTCCATATACACATATATGTATATATATATAGGTCTAATATTGGCTTAGTCTTTGTCTTTCTATCTCTCTCTCTCTCTCTCTTTTCTTACCTAGTCGTCATATAAATTGCATGTTCATTTTTATATCTGCCCTTTTACTTAGAATCAAGCTTATATTTTGTTTATATGTATACAATTAGTTATTTACGTGATTATTTCATTTGTCTGCCTCCTTTGATTATGGTAGAGAAAAAAGGTTAGACCATAATTTGTATGTTTGTTTGTCCAATTTTCTCTATCTCTCTATTATAGGTGAATGATATACATATATATATGTTTATTGTTGTTATGCTTTTTATCGATTTAGCCTTATGGTCTACTTCCTGCCTTTCCCCTTAAACTTTATTCTTTATTTCATTTTAATACACATATATATTGATAGAATTTTTCTAACTTTGTCTAATCTCCACTCTATGTACTCTGTACATAATTTAATCTGCAATAATGAAGAAAAAAAAAACAACATTATTATACTACTGTTTTCAATGGAGACAACGTTTTTACTGGCTGAAGTATGTATTTAAAAAAAAAAGCCTGTGTCCTGGTTATCTCAACTACCCCTTATTATTATTATTAATAATAATGATAATACAGTGTTACTAATTATGATGGTAGTTAAGAGGTGCATGTACTCACAATACTTTTCAGTAAAATTCATATGTGAATTAGGTATTAATAACAATAGACTGGGAAAATGTTTCTTGTCATGTCTCACATTCACACTCATACATCTCTAGGATAGAAATAATGAAAAGTGACATGTTTCTACAGTATTTGCCTAATTAATACTTTCTTTATTTTCCTATTTATTTCTACCACATATGAATTTTTTTATTATGACAATTGTTCAGATTCGAACTACTTGTACATAAATTAATAATTATGGTTATAGAATAGTATCTTATGAGGTTGGACAGCTCATTTTTAACGACCGTGTTACCGGTATCATCAATCTAGAGTTGTCATTGCTAGAGAACTTTGTTAATTACAACTTTCTATTACAGTGTTGTTTTTTCTCTCGTGTTTTCTCATATTCCTTCCCTCTTGTTCAATTTCTGTCTGTCTGTTACCTGGATGTAACTTTGTTCTAAAATTAATGTTCACTCTGGAATCCGAACCCAGTACCGTCTTTTTTCTTCAAACGACGACACGTTATCTATCGACTTGTTTAGGTATTTCAAGTAGCCACTTATTTGTACAATGAGTATGAATTCGTTTCCTTACAAATTAAACTAAAATTCATATCTATTGCATAAGTGAGTAGTTATTTGGATTTCAGCAGCTAAGTGGATAATGCATTGGTACTTGGAACAAATGATACTAGTTTCAAATCCTAGAGTCAATATCAACATTTACGCCTGTTACCTCTCGTGGAGGAGCATGGGTTACCCACCATCATTCACCATTCAACTCTGTCCTGAATAATCTTTTCCAGTTGCTATTCATCCATTTCTTGTCTGTTTCCAATTCTCGATGTTGTGTGTTCTTTGGTCTTCCTTTTTTCTATTTCCCCTCAGGATTTCAAGTTATCACTTGCCTCGTAATGCAGTTTCATGATTTCCACAATGTACATCTTATCCACTTCCAATATCTTTCCTTAATTTCCTCTTCAGCTGGAGGTTAGATCAACTCTGAGGTATATATTTAACTGAATTATCTAAAATAAGATAGAATGTAAATTTTAGACACCATTACTTTAATTACATTCCATCTATTCTATATATATAAGCATATGACAATTATATTTAAGGTGATCTGTAAACAATACACACATGTATATACCAATTAAGATTAATAAAAATTCCATTAACAACAGAATAATTTAAATGTATTTTTGTATTAAATTTTCTTCTAAATAGCTAAACGTAAAAAGTCATCCAATAATATTAATAATTCAACGGAACAATCATTACAACAAACTACATCCATACAACAAATTATGAATGTAACCGGTATTACTACAAATAATACAACTGGTATAACATTTACAAATTGTACAACTGATTTACAATTACAACATCAACAACATGTCTTACAGCAACAAGTTCTACAACAACAACAGCAACAACAACAACAAACATTTCTTCTGCAACAACAACAACATCAGCAGCAGCAACAACAACAATTTCAACAACAGTTCAGTCAACAATCCGTTCAACAACAGCAACAACAACAAATTTTACAACAGCCACAACCACAACATCAAATGATTGTTAGTGCTGGTGGTCATTTTATGTCTACTACACCAATGGTCACTTTTTCAACAATGGCAGCAGCAGCGGCGGCGGCTGCCGCTGGTGGAACAGCTACAGCTATACCTGTTCATCCTGGTATGTAAAATATAATGTTTGTGTGCGTGTATATATAATTAATTAACTCTCGTAGATCAAAGTTATTGTTCCTTTCTGTTCTTGTCTATCCACTTATATATTTATTTGAACACGTAAACCCTGGTACAAGGAGGCACTAAATATGAATGCTTCACACTTCGTCATTCGATTTGTGTAAGGGATGGGATAATGTTCGGGCGCCCAAATCGAAGCAGGTAGTTTTCTTAAGGAGCCACTTCCCAAGACGTTGATCTAAAGGTCTAATCCACAAGGCAACAGAGCAACGTTATGAGATACATTCCCATGGTAGCCGGTTACCAGCAATAGGTTGGTGCTCCATTTGTTCCCTCGGGATCCTGGAGCCAATGTGGAAAATTAATTTGGAGTCAGGGTTTTCCAACTCTCCTGAATGGATCTTCCGTATCCACCAACACGGTTGAGGCGCCAGACATTCGCTTTTCATCCTCTCATTTTGGTAGACTGTATTCCTGTCACTAGAAGGTAGTGAATAGGACTTCCATGGGAGTGGCTGTACAAACGTAGTCATGTGAGAGCATTTGGAGTGAGAGATCTGACTCTTCCCACCATCGACTGTACCAGGTCATTTGGGGGCAACTAAGATAGTTGAATGTTGGATTAGAACAAAAATAGTTCCTTCCATATTATTATTATTGTTATTATTATTATTATTATTATTATATCCCAAGGATATTAGGTTAGTTGATTTCTAATTATTAAGATGATTATCAGTATGGGAATTTGTGGAGATCACAGTAGTTTCAGTTGAATTCAGGGGTTGATTTAAGATAAAATACCATTGAGAACCCGGAAGCACTGGACTGCCATTTCGTCCTAGCATGAGACCCATCAGTAGTTCGCATCCACTATGCCGGCCTGGTTGTCTAGAATTTAAGCGTTTGTGCGCGAGACCGAATGTCATGGGTTCGAGTTCCTCGTGCGGGATAGTGGATGCACATTACAGATCATGATGATGTTGAGAACTCTACTACTACATTAATCTCAATTTATGCAATAGAATATTATCACCAATGTTCTGATACGATAAATTGTTAAGTGATAGCCATGTGTGTACTTGAACGTGGATTTGATTATTGAAAGGGTTGAATGAAGTTTCTAAATCAATACTTTTTCATGCAGCTTGTCTTCACTACATAAGTAAACAAATAGATATGTCGATGTATTTGGACCCTAGTGTTAGTTGTTCATATTGGTAAACTAATCAGTAGTAGTAGTTGTTGATATTATCGTCATGCATATATGTGATCAGTTTCACTCTATAAAGAACAGAAGGTTGGATAGCCTGTGTTAGTCCTGCCAACTGAGGTCTCTCAGGTGATCCAACTTTCTTTTGAATGGGTCGAATGATAAAGTTTCAATCACATGTTGAGACAACGAGTTCCATTCATTAATGAGTCCATGGAGAAAGTCATTAGTCAAATGACAAGTAATTTGTTCTGCTCCTGTGATTTTTTTTAGTGTCCTCATAAACTATTTGAAAGTTTAGATACACTAAACCTTGTAACTGTCTAGGTGTCACATGACTTTCAACTGGTTTTTCGTTGTAACCTTCGTTCCATAGATCAATGAATTAATACATTGAAAATAAATACTTTCTAGTTAGAATAATAATAAAGTATTAAAGTATGTGTAAGTATTTTCCCCAACTGTCTTAAAATATTAGACGTATCATAGAGGATCATGTTCAGTTTCTAACTGACCATATCAAAATTCTCTTGAAAGATAGGCGGAAGGCCTTTTTTTGGGTATTGCTATATTGAATAAAATATGGTACTCGTGAACGCTGCCAATATGCTCTATACTAGGACAGAACACCTGTCTCCTCTCTGATTTTCATTGGTACTCCAACTGACAATTTCTGAATATAATCGATTGATAAGAAATGAGTATGATGTTTAAATTTTTTAATTTCGCTATATGGTTGAGATGTGCACGTTTTTTTCTTTACTTGCAGTCATTAGATTTGGTTCTTGCACGGGTAGTTATTTAAGACACCTTGAGATCAACAATTCAAGGACATGTATTACGTATACCCATCCAATCGACTCCTTCGATGCATGATTATGGCTGGTGTGGGAATAAGTTATAGGAAGGCTAGGGGCGGCCAAACAAACACATGTTATCAGTTCATGAAGACACTGGCTATTAAACTGAGCCATGTAGTTATATTTAGACTGCCTGATTGAGGTCCATGTGATTATAGTAACCAATAGTTGGTTTATTCGCAATGGCGCAGGTGCATGTACTTTTTGACTTATCTTGGATCCTAAGTTTCTAAATTCCTCAATTTTTTTATTTCACCAGATTTATATTTCCATGAATAGTATCTTTAATGCCTAATCTTTTTTATTACTATTATTACTCTCACTATCTCTACTATGGGCTTTTTCCTGACAATTTCATTGCAATATTTTGATGGCGTATGACGATTTGAACTCATGTACATATGTGCCAGGTTGCACATTTGGCTTACCTGACATTACTGTTAACATTATTAGCTTCAGCTCTCATGTTGTTTCTTCTTTCACAGTGCCCCGTATTCATGCAAAGCAACTTGAAGCCCTGTTTGATATATAACGTCTGGAAGAATTTTCAATTTGTTCAAGATAAACAACATTGCCGTCACGAGATGGCGGTGAATAGGACTTTCCTGGGAGTGACGATACTCGTGGTCAGTCAGTCAGTCAGTAACAACGTAGAACTTCGTACGTACGTACATCAGTTCGAGTTGCCATACCACATTAGCACAGAGATGCAGTGGTCGATTCAAATCCCGTAGTGGTAGAGGTAGCAAGAGTATAAGCAGTAATCGGGAAGATTAGGGTTTGGAGATGTTATTTAACGCGTATAATCCAGTGAAATAAATTTGGAAAGAGGAAAAAAAGGGACATGAAGAATTCAGAAGATTAGAATTTGGGAGAACATAGAGAGTGGATGCACCTGCGCCATTGCAAACGATTTTGAGCCATGTCATTCAGGGTCTCTAACCATCGGTTGCTATCATCTCGCGGTCCCCAACCAGGTAGTCTACACCTACCAACATGACCCAGTCCACTTGTCAGTGACTTCATGGATTTGTGCCATGTTTTGGTTTGGCCGCCCCTAGCTTTCTTCCAACCTACTCCTATACCACTGAATATAGCACGTCGAGGTAGTCGGTGGTTGGGCATACGTAACACGTGTCCCAGCCATCTCAACTGATGAAGTTTCACTACTTCATCAATTGATTTGCCATCCTTACCTAGTACCCGTTTCCTAACAGCTGCGTTACTTACTCGGTGGTCCCAGGATATACGAGCAATACTTCGAAGACACCTATGATCAAATACTAGTAACCTACGAATATCCTCTACTCTTACCGGCCATGTTTCACTTCCATAAAGTAGGAGGGAACGAACTGCTGCGCAGTAAACACGTCCTTTGGTTGGTAGACGGATATCTCGCCTACGCCATAAATGACGCAAGTTGGCAAAAGCTAGTCGAGCCTTCTGTATCCGTGCTGAGATTTCGTCACACACCAAGCCACAAGGGCTGATGAGACTTCCAAGATAAGTGAAGCGGTCGACACACTCAACTACTTCACTCCCTATCACTAGTTCGGGTGTCGATGTACCCCAATCCTGAAGCAACATTTTGCATTTCGAGGGAGAGAATCGCATCCCGAATATGCTTGCATTGTTGCTTAGAGTGGTCAGAAGACTCTGCATTTTGTCAGCGTCTTCACCGAATAAAACTATGTCATCTGCATATTCTAAGTCAACAAGTGAACCTCCCGGTAGAAGTTCAACCCCCGGAAATTTAGATGAGGAGAGTGTTATCTCTAAAAGTACGTCGACCACAAAGTTGAACAAGAATGGGGAGAGTGGACAGTCCTGACGAACACCACTTGAGGTAATCAATTCTGATGACAGTTCGCCATAAGCTCTCACTCTACCAGTTGTGTTCGAGTAGAGAGCCTTTATAAGGTTAATGTACTTGTTTGGTACTCCTTTCAGTGACAAACACTGCCATAGAACCTCACGGTCAACAGAGTTGAATGCCGCCTTAAGATCGAGAAATACTACCATTGTGGGGTGTCTGAATGTGTGTCTGTGTTCTAGAACCTGACGTAGTGTGAATATCTGATCTATACAACCACGTCCAGGTCGAAAACCGGCCTGGTTTTCTCTAATCTGCTCTTCACGAGCTTTGATTAGGCGTCGAAGTATTATTGAAGCTAATATTTTAGAAACTATATTAGTCAAACTGATTCCTCTATGATTGTCACAAGAGGACTTTTGTCCTTTCTTATAGACTGGCACAATCAGTGATTGAGACCAGTCAGATGGGATTACGTCCAGTTCCCAAATTCTACCTAAGACCTCGGTTAATCTCATTGCTAATACTGGACCACCATCCTTAAAAATCTCAGGAGTAAACCTGTCAGGGCCTGCTGCTCTCCCTCGTTTCAGATTTCCTATGGCTTTTTCAACTTCGTAAAGAGACGGAGGACCTACATTAACTTGCCATTCAGGTTGACTGGAGATCGTGGGAAACCGAAGTGTGGCTGAAGGCCAGTTGAACTGATCCCTAAAGTGTTCTGCCCATCGATCCAATCTCCTGGATTGAGAATGAATAATATGTCCATCTTTCTCTGAGATTGTTTCGCTAACAGTCGGGTTCCTAATTCCGGTTTCCTTAACGAGTCTAAACAATTGTCTGCTATTACCTATTGCCGCTGCCTTTTCCATCTCTCTTGCTTTCGCTACCCACCACTGTTCGCGATCATTGCGTAGACTTCTTGTCAGCTTGCGCTTAAGCTGACTCCGCTCTTCACTATGTTCAGAGTCAGGTGGAATGAGTTTCCGAGCATCTATCAGTGCGATAGATGCTGCTGAGATCCAGTGTTGCTCCCTAACCTTCTGATTTACCTTACTAGCAGATATCACTGCTGTTTCCACAGCTTTTCGGATATCATTCCAAGCCGCATCGGGGTGGGCATCACATACATGGCTGCCTAACTGTTTTCCTAGTTGTTCCTGAAATATACTCTTAGCTTGACTATCATTAAGTAGGCCCCTAAGAGGTTTCCTTGCAGCGTCTTTCCTACGTCCAGTAAGACGCAAGCAAATACGCGCTCGCACTAGAGCATGATCTGAATCTAGGCATGTGCTCCAGAATGAGCGACAGTCTTCTATCGAGCCCTTCCATCGGTGGCTGATAGCGATGTGATCTATTTGGGTCCAACGTTGGGACGAATTAGGGGGTCGCCATGTTAAAAGATGTTTTTCCTTATGCTTAAAGTTAGTATTTGCAAGGAACAGGCGGTTATCTGAGCATAGCTGCAACAGACGATCGCCATTATCTGTTCTTTGAGCCACGATACTATAAGATCCACCTAGGTGTCTTTCCCTATCGCTTAGTTTACCTACTTGAGCATTAAATTCACCGGCCACTATTACTACATCCGAGCGCTTAGCTTTTCGGAGAAGGTCCGAAAGCTTTCTGTAAAACTCATCTTTTACATCATCTGAGCTGCAATCAGTGGGAGAATAGGCAGAGACGACGAAGAGGCAGCGACGAGTGTCCCTATCTTTCCGGATTCTTACTGTTCCGTTCAGTCGGACAGCGCACAAATGACTGTCTACTGGGATCTACTCTAAGAGAGCTAGTTCTGCCCTAGGACTCAATGCTATACCTACGCCGGCGAGGCCACGGGAAGCAGAATCAGGGCTTCCAGATACACGAAGCGTAAATCGAGTCGGTTCTTTATTTTGGCATGGAGAGGTCAAATGAATGATGCTACTTGGATCCTGTATGCGCGTTTCGGAGACGCAGCACACATCGATGGCGCGAGATTCTAAAGTCCTAGCTAAGGAAGCCTGCTGTCCTATTTGGCACAGTGTTCGTACGTTAAAAGCTCCTACGTGTAGTTTAGAGCGTGGTTTCAGGAGACCAGGAATAGCGTTCCACGTACTCGAATCGTTTGCCCTAGCGGTGCGAGGTGATAAAGAGACGTGAGGAGGGTTAGTCATGGAGATAAGAGAGGTATTAGGTGTAGGAAGGATTTGAATGTGACCAACTTGGTCTCGCGTGCTGTTACGGGTATGAGGGCTGATGTCACTTCCCGGCTGCCCACACCGTGGAAGGGTATTTCTTGAGGAACTTGAGAAGTAAATTGGATTAGTGTTGGTCTTAACGACCTGGGAGCGTGACCGCAGAGCTCAAGGGACAACTGCTTGAGGCCGGTCGCGCACGGCCTTTTTGTAGAAGGTTTTTGACATGTTAGCTCCGTTCTTCAAAGGGCCTTACCGCCGGAGACGGAAATCCGTGAGGTAAGGTGAGGTGTGACATTTTTAGGGTCGACCTTTTCTAACCCCACCCCTCCTTGTGGGAAGGCAGCATCGCTGTCATGCTGATTGTCCGAAGGAAACACCTTACTGCTGTCACACCTCTGTACAGTCAGCAGTACGACTTCGCCCTCAGACTTTGAGTTGCTGCTTTTAGTCTTACCGTGGCCATATGAGAGTATTTTGAGAGAGCTCTCCCCATCATCGGGCTCATCAGGGCATTTGGGGGCGTATATATCATTAGAGTTGTGTTGTCTAACTCACTTATGTATATTATTATTTAACTGTTATAGATTAAATGTAAACTAACTGTTTATTTTGATTATCATGAAGTCAATATAATGTTTGAGTTTATTTTAATACTTTGTAAATAGGTGGTACTCAAACAGCTGTAGCATCGGGTTGTTATGCTGCTGGTACGCCACAATTCCAATTTTCTAATAATCATCCAACTGGTACAGCACAACAATTTTTTATTAGTCCACAAGCTTCAAATTTATCTGCAGGTAATGGTGGTAATACTGGTAGTGGTGGTCAAACACTTTTACAGTGGTCTACAACTCCATGCAGTCAAGGTGTTCCAACAACTGTTCAATTTCAACAGCCCAATCAACATCAACAACAGGGAATTGCTGGAACTTGGCCAAATGTCTCTACTATTTATCATCAACCACAACCACAACAAATTGGTACAGCTATCCAGTCACCTTCAGGAGGAGCTGGTACTCCGACAGCTGGACATACACAGCAGCAACAACAACAAATGTTCACACAACAACCAGGAGCTATGCAACAAGCTTCAATTCAAATGGCTCACCAAGCACAACAGCAATTATTATTTACATCACAACATCCAGTTGGATTACAAGCAGCCGCAGCTACTGGCGGTGCTCCACAAGCAGCTTATCCACAACAAGTGTATTTGGCACAGGCCCCTGCTGGTAAATTTTATTTCGATCATATATATATATATATATATATATATATATATATATATATATATATATATATATATATATATATATATATATATATATATATATGACTAAGTTAGAAATCCGATTAGCTTTTCAAGACAAGATAAAAGCTGTTGAAGACTGGAGTGCTAGAGAAAACAGAGAAAATGGACTAATTACCAGTATATTTTGATATAGTTCGTGTCTATGTAGAAATTGGTGGGTGCGGATAATCGACGTATGGGAGTTTGAAAATTCTAATATTTAACCAATGTTCCACATGCACTTTGAGATTGTAAGAGGAAAACGACATATGAACCTATAGCTTTGAAAGCTATAGCGAATATATCAGTATGGAACGTGGTACAGATGCAAAAATGTTCCATGTATGTATAGAATGCACACATAAAGGATATATACTGTTCATAGTACGCAGATAGGGGTAGGTGCGATTTACCTCAGGCTTCAGCCTAGCGGCAGTGAACGATAAATAAATTACTAGCGTTCAAATTATTTAAGCGGGGAAAGTCGTATATTGACGATATGCGGCTTCACATTCATGCCACAAATAAATTTAGTGTTAACCCCTCTGCACTACTGGTTACTACAGTTTATGATCATTCTTTTTGGTTTACACGTGGCTTGATAGGCCTTCATAGAAATAATCCAATCATACACCAATAGGAAAATTCTTTCTTCAGTTTTGCATTTCATTTTTATCTATACAATACACACCTTTCTGATAATTCATAATAAAGACAGAGTGGGGGACTAATCTGATCTCGTCTTTGTCGCTCAAGCTAGTTCATCAAATAAAGGTTCCACTACCTTCAGGATATTACGCAGATAAATAAGTCAGACATTAGCCTGGAATCATGTTAATACAGTATAATGTATTTGTGACGCGAAATCGGTTCTATTCAGATGTTTTTCTATAAAGAGAAGTGAATTAACTCAATTCACTGTACTACTATGTAGTTAAGTGATTACATTAAAATTAATCATTTTGATTTTCAATGTATTCTGACTATATATTTTTATTAGTTGCAATGGCTAGAAGATCATAAACGATAAAGTCCCATGTTAAGATCATTCTAGAAAACTACTGTGATAAATTAAATAAAATAAAGTATGGTTCTATATCGCTTGACTTTTAGTGATGTTCTGGATTCACTTCGTTGGATAGTTTTTAGACAATCAGACAAAAGTAACGTACAAGTTAGTATATATATTCGATGATACAAGTTGCTACACTAAATAAACACGACGTAAAATGAAATCTACTAGTGTAGAAATGGTAAAACTGTTAAGATATATGGTGGAACATTCAGACAATGAAGAATACTGTTTTGAGGAATGCAAAGTATGAAGTAATACTGAAGTTCAATATTTGGAAGTAGATAAAGATTATCATCTGTGGAACTGTAACGTCTGCAACTACTAATCAAGGTTACCGTACAAACCCTAAACCTGATTGTTGAAACTTGTTGATTCCTCTCAGTCAGTGACTAATTCAATATCTTGGTTTGACCTGGTTTAGTTTTCTTTCAACCTATTACTACTTCAGGGAACATTGTGTGTGTCGAAATTAGCCGTGTTTGAGGCATATGTAATACATAGCCTAACCATCTCAGTCGATGAAGATTCGGTACCTCACTAATTCATTTCACTAACAAAATTTAAATGCTATTTTTTGTAATACTTATAAGATGTTTATTGAAAGTGCTATTATTAGTCATGATTAAAGTTGTTAATAAATCTGTTAGTTGAACACTTGATACGATTTCCCAGCCGCTTCTAATAATCCCAGACTACACTGACATGGCAACTTGAACGCAAGAGAATAGGCGTAAACTGAAAAAGAGCGTTACTCTTATCCAAAAGTATGTATACAAATTTGTGCTTACTATTTAACGTGACCTCGGTCGCTTGGAAAGTTCTGGTGGTACAATAAATGTAGCAAAGAGAAGGTAATTACTTAATCAAAAAAGTAAATGTGATCTGTCATTCTTCTAGATGTTTCGAAGAAACTTCTATTGTATGCTGATTGGACAAAATATTTTTAAGCGTTTTCTGGGCTTCTATTGACTTCCCTAAGGACTATTTGGAGACATTAATTCATAAAAAAGAGCGAAATAAGTGACCTTATGGTTAAATCAACAGTTATTCTTAAACTGTTTACTTCTCTTCTCGTTGAATTAATATTTGTGTTTGATAAGCGATTAGTTAAAAATATGAAATAAATGATTATTTATATAAAATATTTCTTATAAATTGTTAATTTACAAAGTATAGGGATTTGTGGATACTGTAAAATTTTCATAGTTGAATTCACCAGTTGATCTAAGCTAGTCTACCATTGAGAACCTAAAAGCACTGGACGGTCATTTTGTCCTAGCATGGGACTCCGCAACAGTGCGCATTCACGATACTGAACCCTGAACCTTTGGTTTTGCGCGAAAACACTTAGCTACTGAGCTAGCATCTAACGGTGTTAATGTCTAACTTCAGTCGACCCATGATCTTGCACAATCCTTCATCGATTGTTTGAGGTCGATAAATGTCTCACGTCCGATACGGATTGGGCTCCACTGGTCACGGATTCTCACTAGAACTCCTAGAATTACTTCTCCAAGTTAGTTACAAGTATGCACATGATTATTATCAGAATGGAGATTTGTGGAGGCTTTCAATAACGCCTTTGCTTAGATCGACTCATGAATTCAACTATTAATATAAATAATTTATTCACTTTTTTTCTGTTCAGATTAATTATATGGTAGTAGATATCATAATAACTTGAAAAAAACTTTTATTCTATGTCACAGGTGCTAACGGTGCAGGAACATCATATCATCTACTTCCTGTTGGTTGTCCTGGTTCGAATTTCACAAGTTTATTATTATCCGACCAACAACAACACCAGCAACAACAAGCATTAACACAATGCTCTACAGCAGCAACGACCGGATTACATCTTCAACGAGGACAACCTACTGTTCAAATTCAAACACAACAACAAGCGTATCAACAAACTCAACAGTTTCAACAACATCAACAAATTCAAGCTCAAACGCATCAATTACAATCAACACAACAACAAGGTACTATAATGTCTACTGATAATATTACTGGTCAAACTACTGGTTCCATTGGATATTCTAATAATAATACTCCACAATTTATTACATTAGCACCAGGTGCTCCATTAAAAGTTATGGCCGTTGGTCCAAATGGTCAACTCATTCAAACTACTGGTTTACCACAGTTTATGCCAACTGGACCAGTTGGTATGACTATAAATCACCAACCTACAGCATTACAATCAAATCAGACATCGATTACAGTGACTCCTCAACGTCGTGTTGCCACACCTCAACAACAACAGCAGCAGCAGCAACAACAACAACAAACAAATGGACGTATAGTATCGACTGCTTCAACAGTAGCAGGATTTTTCTCTGGGACAGGTATTTCATCCGGTACAATTCCACTTGTACAACCAGCCGCTGGTATAGTGGAAGATCTAGTACAAAATACAAATAATACTAGTTTGAATGCTGCATTAAGTACAGGAGATGAGAAATTAGTTTACACAGCTTTATAATAACTGTCTTCTATATATATATATATATATATATATATATATATATATATATATATATATATATATATATATATATATATATATATATATATATATATATATATATATATATATATACATTATTTTACAAATATGATGCATTTTTCTATCGATTTGACTAAACAAATTGTTTTCCTTCTTCAAAGAAATTTTCTTCTATTGTTAAACACAAAACTCTATTAAACAACAATAACATTTATATTAATACCATTGTGTACTATTACTCTTCACGGATGTATAACATCGTCCAATGTGTTTATTTGTTATATAATGAAGTAATAATAAAAAAGAAAACAAATAAATAGGATACTATCAATCAATCAATCAATCAGTTTTTACCATGTCTTCTTCTCAATCTAATCATCATGTGTAATTTCACGAATAGAATTTCTTTCTTCCTTTTAAATGTCATGGACAATCATTTTGTTTTATTTCTTCTTTTCATTTCTTCACTCCTTGTCTCTTTTACCTGTTTACATTTTGGCTTTTTACATGTGTTGTAATCATTATGACCAATGGTGATGTGATGATCATCATCTTGATAACTCTATGGGTGGGTGGGTGGCTGTGTGTTTGGAGCGGGAGGGAGAGACACCATCTGGATCGATTGATTTCAGTGTATTTTATTATTTTTTTTAAAAATTCCAATGGAACTAAATCTAGTCGTTGTTTCTACCTCGTTGTTGTCATTGTTTCGTTCTGCTTTTTTTTTCTAAAGACTTTTATTGTTATTATTATTATTATCAGTTTCTATTCAACAGTGATTTAGTTTGATATTTATATATATAAAGACATGTATTTATCTATTCCATTCTGATTCTCTTAGATCTTTGTTTATTTTTTATTATTTCAACATTCTTTACAATTTATGTATACTTCAAGACTAAATGCATTTGTTGTTTTCTTTCAATTTATCAATGTAAATGAAATAGGTTTATATGTGTGTGTGTGCAAAAAACAAAAATTACAAACAAATGACATATTTCCCGCCAAATCAATTTTTATAAAGTAACACGGCGAATAAATCGGAATACAATTGAACTATTGAACTCCTCATTCATTTTCTTTTTCATGATGTTATTTATTATTGTTTGATGTTTACTGTATACATTTTAATGTGCATATATATATATATAGATATATGTTTGTGTGCGTGTGCGTGCGTGCATATGTGTGTATTTGTGTTTCATACATTTTGGTTTTCTTCTGTAAAAATCTTTTCTCCTTTTTTGTTTTCTTTATTTAATGATGGTTCTTATTATTTGTTGTAATCGTTTGTTATTACTTTTTTTTTAAAAAAAAAACCATTTACCCCTTTTTACTGTTTTTATAGAATAAAATTAGTATTATGTAAATAATGTGCATAGAAACAATGAAAGAAAGAAAGAATCATTTGTGTATATTATCTCTTCTCTATATGTATTTGCTTATATATTCACTATTTTAATCCTGTTCATCTTTTATTTTCCTTTCTTTTATATATATTAACGATAATAATAATAATGTAATATTTATTTTGACATGTATTCTACTTATAAAGGATATATTCCATAGATATAGAGAGTTCATTATTTGCGTGTGGGCCGCGATACTCCCCGGGTGCCCAGACCGAAACAGGTGGTTATCTTAGGGGGGCCACACCCCGAGCCTTTGACCTAAAGGTCTAACCCACAAGGCAGTGGAGCATCGTAAGGAGATCAGTCAGTCAGTAACAACGTAGAACTTAGTACGTACGTACATCAGTTCGAGTTGCCATACCACATTAGCACAGAGATGCAGTGGTCGATTCAAATCCCGTAGTGGTAGAGGTAGCAAGAGTATAAGCAGTAATCGGGAAGATTAGGGTTTGGAGATGTTATTTAACGAGTATAATCCAGTGAAATAAATTTGGAAAGAGGAAAAAAGGGGCATGAAGAATTCAGATAATTAGAATTTGGGAGAACATAGAGAGTGAATGCACCTGCGCCATTGCAAACGATTTTGAGCCATGTCATTCAGGGTCTCTAACCATCGGTTGCTATCACCTCGCGGTCCCCAACCAGGTAGTCTACACCTACCAAGGAGAAGGAGATGCAGTCCCATGGAAGCCGGTGACCAACAATTGGTTCATACGCTATTTGTTCCCTCAGGATACTGGAGCCCATGTGCACCATTGGTTTCGGATCCGGTTAAAGCGCCAGACATTCGCTTTTCATCCTCTCATTTTCGTAAACAACACCTCCGCCACGAGAAGGCAATGAGTAAGACTTCCCTAGCAGAGGCTGTATACGCGTGGCCGTGTAAGAGCATTTCGAGAGGGAGAGCGGACTCTCCCCATTCTCAGCCATACCGGGGCATCGGTTCAAGTTGCCATACATCATTAGTACTGTTGTGTCTTGTGGACCGCAGATTTAGATAGCAGCGAATTTATTGATCGGACCAAAGACGCGTAAAACACGCAAGAACGACTTAGAGTCCTGATTGGTCCTGCTTCCTTGTCTAGCCCAGCCAGTTGAGTCCAAAACGCAAGTCTCAGCCTCTGAGATATGAATCATTATATTTCAAGCATATTCTGTTTATATACTAATCAAGCAGACCACATCGTATCATAAAATAGAAAATAACATTTCTATAATATTTGGCCAACAGGAAAAATGACACGTGAAATATATATTAACCAATAGGAAAATGATACCATCTTAAGTTCAAGAATAGCATTAGACTTAATAGAATAATTTTTGGGATATTTTCCTAAATATCTCAACAAGATGATTACCAAATTCATAGCAGTGGTTACTTCAATGATAGTAATATATATAGATATAATAGACGGCGGAAGAATTAGTTCGTAGAAAGATATATTCCATGAACGAATTAATCCAGCACCTATTAACTATCTTTTGGTCAAAACTTTTGACGATAGTCGCTAATAACTTCAGTACATGAGAAGTATTGTTCTATTTAAGTATTCAGTATAGTTTCCATTTAAAAATTTGAGGTTGAAAAGTGAAATTTGAATTAATTGATGACTTGATAGGGTCTTGATTTTCATTAATTACTATCTATTTCATGAATTAGGATCCATATATTTGTTCATCAGAATAATTTGGTTATTGGAAAAGTATCCTTCATGAACTGACTTCCGACTGGGAAGATCCAAAGGATAGGAACATTTATGTTGTTTGGTTTAAAATATTTAGCTACTGAAAACTTTACAAGTAGTGTAGTTATATGTTGTGACAATTCTTATGGTTCTAGTGTTTTATCAGTGATGTGCACATTCCAAAGATGAATGTAAAACTTTCAGTGTTTACTGAACGTTGTTCTAAAACACTGTTAAGTTCATAAATGACTACAAATCAACCTAAGATTGTTTTATTCCGTTCATCATAACAATTCATAAATGCGAGTATTGTTCTATTATTGATATTCAGTGATGAATTCTGATTGGTCTTTGTTGCAGCTTATTGACACGCAATAAAAGGTGTTGAGTTTAAGTCTTAGTGTGAACATCAGCACTATCGTGCTACAGCATGCATCTTAGTTTCTACTACTATTTAAAACTATTAAATCTACCTAAACTTATCACATACACATTATTTTTAGTACAAAACTGACCAAAATTCAATCCTGAATACTAACAATAAAAATGATACTTGTTCATTTCATTTACTATTTTAAAGATGTTAACCCCCTTCAGCAATGAATAACTTCTAAACATTCTTAGCTTCTTGACAACTGTATGTTGGATTTATCCGTATCATCAGAATGATTTGCGATGAATCTATGTACCTATCGATTATTGATCAAAATAGGTAACACAAGTATTGCTTGTTATAAACTGGAACAAGTCTAGATTCTGATTGAGTAATATTAAAGAAAAAGATTCTTGATGAAATAGACGCTTACAATAAGAGGATTATCAGAAATTTCATTAACCAAGTGTTACGTTTGTCTTACACTGTTCCTACTCGTTTCCTTTCCACTCCTTTGTATGTTGTTTTATACTACTTATTTACATTCAGTAAGCGATTGTATTCCCAACAATTTTTAAACTTATGTTGTGACGCAAGTTGAAGTGTAATATTCTGAAATGTTCATATATACTTATAACGTTTATTGTAATTATCATTGTATTTATCATTATAATTACTGTACCTTAATCACTGTAGCAATTAACCACAGTTTTGTGCATTTGTTTAAACGCAACAGTTTCCATACTGTTTCGCTCTTGGTTCTGGTTTCAGTTGTTTGCAAACTGTTATCAAAATTAGACACAGCTATTAGCTGTCTTTCATAATATCGTATGTTATAATTATTCTTTATGTTACTGTTACAGGAAGCCTTTTTATTTTCATTCTTGAAGGACGCGTTTAAACTCTCAGACACCCCACAAGTTGAGGTTTGTAACTAAATTTTGTTTATTATTCAATAAAGAACCGCTATTGTAGACAAATCGTTTTGTTTTGCGCGTATCTCAATCGGGTGACTTGGACGCTTCGGTATAAAATGAATTCATGATAAAAATACATAAAAATTACCCTGTAGAATATTTTTAAAATTTACATCCTTTCAAATTATTTGTCCAAATGTAACGTGTATTATTTTGACAGCAAATCGGTTCCATCAACAAAATTATCATTTATATTAGCTTTAGGTTTCAAATAATGTGTTCACGTATGAATGCTCCCAAATGCTCTGGTATGGCTGAGGGCGTAGAGAGTCAGATCTCCCTCTCCATAGGATCTCAAATGGTCATGTTTACATAACCACTGTCAGTGAAGATTTACTCATTACCATCTTGCGGAATTACTGTAGTTTACGAAATCGAGCGAACGAAGAACGAATTTCCGGTGCTTTAATCGGGTTGGTGGACACGGAGGATTCATCCAGGAGAATTGAAAAACCCTGATTCCAAATCAATGGTGCACATGGGATCCTTGATCCTGAAGGAACAACTGGCGTATTACCGTCTTGTTGGT